TAGGTGATGGAGAGATTCACTGAGTTAACATGAGTCTTACCGTGAGATAACATTTTGTCAGTGTTTTATCAGTATCGCTTCTTCAGAACAGGGACCAGTGACTAAGATGTCCTTAGAATGTGGAGCACATGCCATGTTAGGGTTGGCCTTTGAAACCGGAGTGGCTGTTGGGTAGGCTTTCATGCAGCTATCCCCACCTTTGTCTAACTAGAGACCCTGGCAGGTTTTAGTTTGGTCGTTTGTTCTCCATCACTCCTTTCCTTTCTTCACGCTCTCATTTTTTAAGTTTGTTTTTAACATTTTGGGGGGACGTTTTGAACATAAAAAGGAAGAGAATCATATAATCTCCATGTAGCACATGGCAATCTTGTCTTTTTCTCTTTTAAACAAGTTTTATTTAGGAAATATAGAAGATCTACTCCACAGACAGTAGAGGCTCGTTCTCCCTGCTGAGGAGACAGCATGTTTGGTTTTTTTTTAATTGTTTAATTTAAACACTGGCTTCAGCAGTCTTGTTTTATATCCCCTCAGCTGCCTCTGGATTATTTTGAAGTAAATCCAAGAGCTGTCATTACATTTGTAAATACTTTATATGCATGTCTATGAGAGAAAGACTTTAAAAACCTTAGCCACAATACTTATATGATACCTAAAAACATTAACAATAATTCCTTAATATAAACAATATTCAATCAGTATTCAGATTTCTTTTGATTCTCTCATAAATTTCATTTTTAGTTGGTTTATTCAAATCAGTAATCAAATGAGGTCCACCCTTATATTCAGTTGATATGTTTCTTTAATTTTATAATAACTTTTTATTTTAAAATAATTTCAAGGCCAGCCTTTAATCCCAGCACTTTGAGAAGCCTAGGCTGGAGGATCGCCTGAGCCCAGGAATTCAAGACCAGCCTGAACAACATAGTGACACTGTGTCTCTACAAAAAATTTTTAAAAAATTTGGGGGGGCAAGGGCAACATACATAACCTAAACATCTGTACCCCCATAATATGCTGAAATGAAAAAACAACAAAAAAAAAGTTAGCTGAGCATGGTGACACACACCTATAGTCCTAGCTACTGGGAGGATCACTTGAACCCAGGAGTTTGCCATTACAGTGAGCTCTGATTGTGCCACTGCACTCCAGCCTGGGTGACAGAGTGAGACACTGTCTAAAATTTTAAAAAATGAAATAAAATAGAAATAAATAATTACAAACTTAAAAAATATAATACATAGGACTCTCATATACTCTTTACCCAGAGTCATCAATTATTAA